TCAATTACCAATAATAACCTGAAATATTTGAGGTGTTTGGATAACATGTGACATCTTTTCTTCACTGATATTCTTGTTTTGGTAAAGAAAATAAATTAACAAATAAATAAGTCTCATATCTTTCACGATATTTAAGAAAATCTATTACCTTTAAGAATGGTAATCAGTTATTTATTTTTTTGCAAATGCTGTGTACATATTAAAATATGTAAAATGGAGAGTGGCATGAAACATGTAACTGACACACTAAAAGGCCTTTGGTTAGGAGATCGTTAAATCTGACTTGCATATGTTGTTCTGAAGTTAAAAAATACATAATCAACTTAATCCATTATTTTGTCGAGCCAATGACAAGGTTCTTGTCTCCTGTATTTCATTGCTTATTTGGTACAGCCAGATTTGTTTTCCATGGAAAAAAAGGTAATGCTTTTGTTCCATCATTTCGGGTATGCAATATTGCAGAGAGAAGATTATTTTTACAGAAACACTGTATCATATTAAATGAATAACATTTGCTAATAAAAGAACTGGTTGTGTGATGATTATTTTACCTATTTGTTGACTGTGACATTTGTTTTGATAGCTTCCTTACTTAGGATAAGTGAGTAAATCATCTAGTGTTAAACTATTATTATTATTATTTAAACACTGATCTGGCAGTGGGGTTGTCAGTAACAAGGATTTTGCTTTATGACATTCCATGAAAAAATAAGTTAATGTGTTTCATATCTTTCACCCAATGTTATTCCAAGCATTTTGTAAAAGTTAGAACATTAAAGTTGGAACCACAAAATCTGTAGTCAATATTTTCCTTTTCTGAAATGCACCGTGAACGAATCTTCTCTAGTATATACAATTATTAATTAAAATTATTTAATGATCAAGTAGCTTGTATTAGTTTGACACCCTAAGTTTAATTTGTATTGCAGACTAATGATTTTTATAGGCGTTTTTTTTCCTGATTAAATAAATTTCTCCTACATATAAGGAGAGAATTTTTTTTAAAGACCCAAGGGGGGGGGGGTAAAAATATTGCTACTTCATGTTAACAGCACTCAACTCGTAAGCTGAAGGTCACCGAATCGAACTCAGCTGTGGTGGTGTTCTAATGTGATGATCAATCACATTATTCGTTGGTAAAGAGTAGCCCAAAAGTTGGCAGTGTTGACTAACTGCCTCCACTCAAGACTATTACTTCAAAATTAGGGATGGCAAGGGCAGATAGTTCTCAAGTAGATGTATGTGAACAACAACTTTATGTTTTATCATGTTCTAAATAGCAGGTACTGTTTGACACCTAAAATGTTACAACAATACAGACGTTAGAAAAATGAATAAATAAATTGTTCTTTCTTCAGAGTGCGACAAACATTTCAGTGTGTAAAAAATAAAGATACTAACATTACCTTGGTTACTCATGTGATGTACCAAGCTTGCCTTATAAAGAACCATTGAACTATTTAAAATACAAGGTACATATTTATTCTAGTGAGTGAAAATTTCAAAGAGGAAAATCAGATTGAATTTCAGTCTTTAGAACTGAAAATTGATCTAAAATCAAATATTGAAACTTAAATAAATATTTTAAGTGAGCATTATACCAATAATCATTAGTCCTTCCAGTGGCACAGCGGTATGTCTGCGGACTTACAACGCTAAAATCCGGTGGGCAGAGCACAGATAGCCCATTGTGTAGCTTTGTGCTTAATTCTAAACAAAAAATAATTATAAATTAACTTGCTTATATGATCAACGTGGTTCCATCTGTTGTTTAAAACGATGAGTTTCTAGGTTATATAGAGCTAGAATTCACGATTTTAGTATTTTAACAGACAATATGACAAACTTCACCTACCTGTATATAAAAAGTCTTCAGCTATGATAAGTCATCAGGTATATTTTTACCCTTCACACTGGTATGTTCAACATAAGGTTGAAGATTTTGTTTCGAAATATGATTTATATCAGATTCTTTTGATAAACCATCAAGCATGTTTTACCCTTAATACTGGTATATTTAATACAAGGTTGGAGACTGTGTTTCAAAATACTAGCTCAGGTTTATATCAGATTTTTTTGATAAACCATCAAGCATGTTTTACCCTTAATACTGGTATATTTAATACAAGGTTGGAGACTGTGTTTCAAAATACTAGCTCAGGTTTATATCAGATTTTTTTGATAAACCATCAATCATGTTTTCAACCTTAACACCCACATGTTTAACTCTATGTTAAAGTTAGTTCTCCTACGCTAGTTTGGCCGTTTTTTTTATTGCAGGTTCTATTGTGTCTGTTTTGATAACTTTTTGGTGTAAGGATATCACACCATTCATCACCTTTTGGGAGATTTGACGACTATTTATCTTTTTATTATTTTCCAATCTACACACTATTGAATATTAATCGGCATATTATTTATAATTGTTTAGGTATATACTAATATTCATGAATTCCACACCAGAAACGACTGGAAATTTACTTAGCTTATTTTCCAGTTAAGATTTTTTAGCCTCTAATTCTGGTTAATTTTTTTTAATTCGTGAATGCTACCATTCACGAATTAATGAATGGTACAGGTTCGTACATTGCTCTATGTACGAACCTGGAACTATAACCAATAGCAGCAAATTAAGCCGTTTTAATGTTTTATAAGCTATTTTTATGCATTTTTGAGGTGATTTTTACGTAATTTTGAAGTACTAGATACAGTTACATACGAACCAGATCTATAGGTCAGTAACAAGAGAAGGCCTGGTGGTTAGGGCGATCGATTTGCACTCTGCGAGTTCTAATTCTGTTGCTGAACATGCTAGCTCTTTCAGCCGTGTTTATAGTTCACTAACTGCTTTCCCTCTAGTCTATCACTTCAAAATTATGGTCGGCTAGCGCAGATAGCCCATGAATAGCTGTGCGCGAAATTCAACAAAAAAGCAAACCAATACTAACAACAGAAATATTGTCTTTAATCGCATGCAAGTTATGCTAAAAGTTTCTGAATGAAATGATTATGAAACATTGTTTAGGTTAATAAAACTCGAAAGTGTTATATTTTAACAACAAGGGACCACCATGGTATTAAAATTGAGAATCGAAATATTTTATTTTGGAAGCATAATATTTCATTTTTAGAATTACTTTTGATAATATTTGGCACACGAGGTATTATTTTTTGTAACTTAACCAGTTGTTAGTTTTTATATATAAAAAAAGATTGGATGATTTTATAAAATCTGTATTTTAAGCGCTATCTGTTGGCTACTGAATCGGGGTAATAAAGGCTGCATGTCTACAGTCAAGCCTCTTACATTTCATTTAATTAAAGTCTTTTGTACTTTTGAAAAAATAATTTGTTATTTAATTTTTTTTTTCTGATTGTTTTTGCACTAATACACTGCTGATCCATGTATGATGCTACATATCACAGAAAAAAGTCACGTGGCTCGAAACAAGCCTTCATCCGAGAGTGTAATACTATATATCACAAGAAAACGCCTTCGTCCCAAGGTGTAATACTGTACATCATAAGGTTTGTTTCTTTGTAATTAAGCACAAAGCCACACAATGGGCTATCTGTGCTCTGCGTTGTAAGTCCGCAGACATACCGTATGGCTACATCATACGGAGTTACCACAAATGAGCCATTGTTATTATAAGAGCGATTAAAATGCGGATGGCTGATTATGGCGTAGCTTTACAAGGAGATTACTTTTATTGAATAAGGTATGGGTACGATGCAAACAAATGTGAAAAAATTGTTACGGTCATTTTTGTAAGCTGTAAGTTTGATATATGTGACGTGAATCCAAGCAGGGATTAAAAATTATATAAAAATTTTGTTAAATCAAGTTTAAAAAAAATTTTCTTGTGTACGATATTTAAGATGGTAAAAATTTATACTATATTGTTTACATAAAATAAAACATTTTAAATGTTAGATGCCTGCTACAGGCTTGGGGCAAGCAATCGTTATACAGAGACAATCACAAATCCTCGAAAAGGCTTATCGCACTAAAAATCGGGTTTTGATACCCGCAATGGGCACAACACAGGTAGCCCATTATTTAGTTTAGCAACAAACAAAGAAATATTTTGCATCCATTTGCTCTGCGGTACGTTTGAAAACTTATAACGCTAAAAACTGGGTTTTGATACCCGAGATTGGCACAGCATGGATAGCCCATTGTGTAACTATGTGCTTAACATCCAAATCTTAACAGCTGTCTGAATAAAAGTCATATTTCAAATGTTTCATAATTTATTTCTGACTGTACTGGTTAAAAATTGTCAGTTTTATGAAACGTGGTTGAAGTGGTAAAACTTCTTAACCATTACTTTCTCAAACATGTGAAATATACTACTTTTCTGTCATCTCGGCCATTTATCTTCTAAGACTGTTGTCGTGTCAGGTCGTACATATTTTAAAGACCTTTAAAGTTCTTAATAGGTACATTACACTCTCTTCTGATCAGAAAATAGCCTTTCAGATTCCGGGTAAAAATATTCACAAATCGGACTTGAAGTAGCTTAATGATATAACTTGCTGTTATTACAGTACACACATAAGGGTCTTACCCTTCCACCCCCCCCCCCACCCCACACACACACGCAAACACACTTTTAAACAAAGTTAGGCGCCCCTGGGTAGACACAAACAAATAATATATACACAATTTTGCAGTAGAACAACTTGAAACGCTCAATTACAAATTAGTATAGTATTTCTATTTTTACTACACACATGGGTTTCGATACCCATGGTGGGCAGAGCACAGATAGCCCATTGTGTAGCTTTGTGCTTGATTTCAAATACTACACATGGAAACAATTTTATAAAACAAAAAGGTTTAAATTATTTTAAATATGCTTTCATGCTGCTTGTGTTTTTACCAAATAACCTTTAGACACTGTACAGTAAATATTTATATTTTAAGTATCTATATACGACTCGTGTATTTTATATTTATGTAAATTTGTGATCGGAGATTTCTTTTACTGTAGCTCGGAGAAGAGGGCGACCTACGAATTCGAGCTAGTAGCCTGTCTGCTTTAGAAGATGTTGATTCCACCAAGTATGTATACTTTTCTGTTCTTTTGTGACCATAGTGACGGAAATCACAAAGTATATATATATATATATTTATATATGCTTACAAACTGCAGCTGCCATTTAAAATTATTTAAATGTTCGTTTTGGATATTCGCGCAAAGCTACTCCGGGGCTATCTGTACTAGCTGTCCGTAATTTTGAGCTCGGTGATTAGGGTGGGGGGGGGAATGCAGTTAATCAATAGCTCCTACCACGAAATTTTCGGCTCCTTCCAACCAAATAGCAGGATCAGACCGTCACTTTTATAACACACCCAAGGCACCAGAGTGGACAGCACGATTTTCCAGCAGCGGAATGTGAACTATAGATTTCTGAGCACGATTTGCCGGCAGAGTAATGTGAACTATAGATCTCTGAGCACGATTTTTCGGCAGAGGAATGTGAACTATAGATCTCTGAGCCAGATTTTTTCGGCAGAGGAATGTGAACTATAGATCTCTGAGCACGATTTTTCGGCAGCGGAATGTGAACTATAGATGTCTGAGCACGATTTTTCGGCAGAGGAATGTGAACTATAGATCTCTGAGCCAGATTTTTCGACAGCGGAATGTGAACTATAGATCTCTGAGCACGATTTTTCGGCAGCGGAATGTGAACTATAGATCTCTGAGCACGATTTTTCGACAGCGGAATGTGGACTATAAATCTCTGAGCACGATTTTTCGGCAGAGTAATGTGAGCTATAGATCTCTGAGCACGATTCTGCGGCAGAGTAATGTGAACTATAGATCTCCGAATTCACACTTCGGTACGTTAACCACTAGGCTACGCTCGGTCCTGCTTTGAAATAAAATACATATTTATAAATAAATTATTTATATTGATTTCTACGAGAAACAAAAGGTGTCGCTAATTAAAACGTTTCGAATGAATAAAGACCAGAGCCGTAAATAAACAGAGTTTGGCCAACTAAACAGTAGGATCTCAAGCGTATTAACGTGATAAATATATGCACTGTCTGCATGGCACGGCTTTGTTTCATTAGACGTGGGCTCATTTTACTTAACAGTTCATTAATTTAATAAGTTTAATTAATTTAATTTAATTCAAGTGATTAAAGTTTCACGCCAAAGTTAACATAATTGTAAAAATAATAGTTAATTGATTATTTATCAATTAACTGAAGAACGTTTGTCTTGTGGTTGACAAACAGAAATTGTTTTATGTGGAAATTCTGAACACACAACTTTAATTGAACGAATAATACATAATACATTCATTTTCATAAAGAGTAAACTTCATCGATTTTTCTTAGTTCAATTGATCTGCACCTCTTTTATGATTAATGTAACAATATTAATAATTTAATTAAATAGTTTCATCAAAGTGAGTTCATTTAATTCAATTCCAAATTGAAATTTAATTAACTGAACCACATCTGGTTTTCTTCTACGATAAAATAGATGAAGACATGATGTATGACAGTACTTACATCTAATAGATGAATACATGATGTATGACAGTACTTACACCTAACAGATGAAGACATGATGTATGACAGTACTTACATCTAATAGATGAATACATGATGTATGACAGTACTTACACCTAACAGATGAAGACATGATGTATGTCAGTACTTACATCTAATAATTAGATGTAAGTACTGTCATACATCATGTCTTCATCGATGTAAGTACTGTCACACATCATGTCTTCATCTTAATAGATGAATACATGATGTATGACAGTACTTACACCTAATAGATGAAGACATGATGTATGACAGTACTTATATCTAATAGATGAAGACATGATGTATGACAGTACTTACACCTAACAGATAAAGACATGATGTATGACAGTACTTACATCTAATAGATGAAGACGTGATGTATGACAGTACTTACACCTAACAGATAAAGACATGATGTATGACAGTACTTACATCTAATAGATGAAGACATGATGTATGACAGTACTTACATCTAACAGATGAAGACATGATGTATGACAGTACTTACATCTAATAGATGAAGACATGATTTATGACAGTACTTACATCTAATAGATGAAGACATGATGTATGACAGTACTTACAACTAATAGATGAAAAAATCAATACCGCATGAACATATGAAGTGATATATTTTGACAAACAAAGTTTGTTTTTTGAGATGGAACAAATCAAGACATTCCAGAATAATTGGTTAGTACAACGTCTGTAGTGTACTTAAGGTTCTGCACAGCAGCCCTCATGGCCATGCTCTTCCTTCCAAGTTCATCACCTGCTTTTGATCCCTAGAGTTTCCTTTTGCGAAGATTCTGTTGTTTCTTCACGTTGACATGAAGCCTCACAGAGAAGAGCTTATATCAATAGTTTATTCTTTATGTTATGGCAATAAGGTGGATTTATATCCTGGCTAAGTATCTCTACCTGCTTGACAAGTCTTGCCATTACATAGCATGTCCTGATCTACTCTACAGAAATGCTCCACGTGATTGGAGATTTTCATATATTCTTCAGAACAGTGGGTAAGACTGCATTCCTTGTATTATTTCAGTTATGTGAATTTCGGAAGTCTGCCTTCACTCGGCGATCATCCTTGTTCCTCTACAACTTCTAAACATTTTGAACACAAATTCTTCCTTGTATTCTTTCAGTTGTGTGAGTTTCGGAAGTCTGCCTTCACTCGGCGATTATCCTTGTTCCTCTACAACTTCTAAACATTTTGAACACAAATTCTTCCTTGTATTCTTTCAGTTGTGTGAGTTTCGGAAGTCTGCCTTCACTCGGCGATTATCCTTGTTCCTCTACAACTTCTAAACATTTTGAACACAAATTCTTCCTTGTCACTTTGGCAATGGAGCAACTGGCTCTGGCTAAGTTGTACAGTCTAGTTTGGTCTGCTTGACAGCTCCTCAGTGGTAGAATTGACTTGATCTTCGTAGGCAGCTTCGTCTTGTAAAGATACTGTTGGTTGATCAAGTAATTCTGCTAAGAAACTCCGGTCGTCTTCCAAATATTATAAAGATGTTTCTAGTCCTACACAGAAAATTAGAAGAATGATACGTGCATCAAACATATCAACAACAGACAATACAACTCTTTATTGAATATTAGCTTAATCCTGTTTTAATTCGACATGTATAAAAATCATAATGTTCAGTCAATATGGTTGTTCAAGTGTTTGCAAATTCGCAAAAAGTGCGAAGGGAACATCATGATTTGACAATGTAGAACTTAATTACATGAAATCAAATATCCAAATTTGATAGAGAACCAATATAGTAATCTGTCATATGCAGCAGTGTTCCCTCTGAGCTGCGTGGCCGCACAACGAACAATCAAGTGTCGCGCACTTAATTACTCCAGCTGCTCACGTCCTCAGTAATGGTGAGGAGTCTCAACACGTTGACGGCCTTAATGACCCTGGCAGTCTGTAGGCCTAAAGCCCAAATAATCAACTAGTATCATTGAAAAGCGGCCTAATGATCCAATAGGGTCGATGGTCTAAAAATACCACCATCACCCCTAAAAAATACTGGTAGAGCATTGCCTTGATACTGGTGCGCATGAAAAAATTCATTCCTCACATGGATTGAAAAAAAAATTAGATGAAACAGTGATATGCAGTCTTGTAGGCTGTTTGCTAATTGCTATCACATTATTGCTAATACATTGTAGAGTTTTAACTCAGTCTCTGGCTAAGCCTAGTCAATGTAACTATAATGCATCTAACAGCCCAAATTCTGCAGTCTGCCGAAATTTGATAAACGATCAGAGGAAAAGTACGTGTTATGAGGTTTCACGACGAATAATAACGAAGATGCTAGGCCTACTCCCGGAACATACAAATGGTATGGCGTTTACTTTCCAGTATTTACGACGATTGTTTGTTGGTAATTAAGCACAAAGCTACACAATGGGCTATCTGTGCTCTGTCCACCACGGTTATCGAAACCCGGATTCTAGCGTTGTAAGTCCGCAGACATACCGCTGTGCCACTGGGGGGCATTCATGACGAACTTTTATGTATGTCTCTGTGATTGTGTGTGTGTGTCAATACCTACCGGAAGGCATAAGAATAGTATGTTAATATATATAAAACGTATGTTTCCAACGCACTGTGTTGGATTGGTGAACTTCAAAAAATAAATTGTATTTCCTGCATAGTGGCGGCATAGTGGTTAACCTCAGAGCTTAAAATACTAAATATTTAAAGTTCGATCCCTATGGTACATACAGCACACATAACTTATTGTACAACTTTGCAATAAACAACAAAGAAAGTTCATGTGTTGCCTACTTGTGACCTTTTCTGTAACAAGTGGCCTAGTGGCTGGGGCGCTCGACTCACATTCTGATGATCGCGGGTTCGAATCCCCGTCACACGGAACATGATCGCCGTGTGGGCGTTATAAAATTACGGTCAATCTCACTATCGTTGGTAAAAGAGCAGCCCAAGAGTTTGTGGTGGGTGTTGTTGACTAACTTCTTCCCCTCTCACTGCTAAATTAGGGACGGCTAAAAATTATGGTATCAAGAAGTGTAAAAATTAACTGTCATCCTGTGTTTTTTGTACATTTCGTGTGTATATGTGTCTAAATTGCATTTGTATATCGTCTGAAACCTATA